ATAGTGATGTGACTAATTCAAGATGCGTAGCTCTATAAACGGCACAGGTAAAAATGCATATCCAGGCCTTTGAATTGTCTTTCAAAATCACAGGACCAGCAAAGTCCACTCCCGTTACTTGGAAAACAGCTGCATCTTGAACTCTATCAGCTGGTGGTGATGCAGTTGGTGGATCTACAGATTTGGCAGAAAAACGCTTGCAGACTACGCAAGATCTCAATACAGATTTTACTGTTCTTCTACCACACAGCAGCCAAAATCTTTCTCTAAGAGAATTCAATGTGTAGGAAACACCAGCATGTCCATTTTTCTTATGTTCAAACAGTACTAAACGTTTTACTATAGAATTCTCTCCAGGTAAAATAGCAGGTGTTCTAAACTCTTCAAAATCATCTCTTTTATATACAGTTGTTTTTAATCTATAGATTCCTTTCTCATCAATAAATACATCTAGAGTTTTAAGGCGTTTATCTGAAACTCCTGTAAATGACTCCTGCTGTATTAAGTATACAGTAGTTTTCTCAGCTTCTTCTAATTCCTTAACAGAAAGATCTCCTTTTCTTCTTTCTTCATTTTTGCTATTAAAAAGGAATCTCTTCACCCATGCCATAGTATGTACAATTTTTCGATAGTCAGAAATATTCGAACTCAAAAGTTTTGTCACTTCAAAATTTATCATTGAGGTTGTGACACCTTTTCTTTTCTCACAGTTTACTTCCTCCTCATTAACGACATCTTCAGACGAAGGCCGAAAATCTTGAGGTAAGTGCAACCAATTGGGACCCTCTGACCATTGCAATCGCAGAAGTTGTTGTGCAGAACATCCTCTACTTGGCAAATCAGCTGGGTTCATAGTCACAGGAACATGTCTCCAGGTGTTAACATCAGTCTGCTCTCTGATTTCACGCACTCGATTATAAGCAAAAATGGCCCATGGTTCACTTCTTTTGATCCAGGCCAAAACAGTTGTGGAATCTGCCCAAAAAAACACTTCATCATGAGTTATACCTCAGACAAAATTGAAATTGAAAGACGAGATGCAATGGTTGCTGCCAGAAGTTCAAGGCGTGCTATGGTAATTTCTCCTTTTCCTGTAGGGGCTACTCTACTTCTCGCCTGTAGTAATTGAACTCGTACATTATTCTCAGACTCCACTCTAATGTAAACAACCACAGCATAGGCCAATTTACTTGCATCGCAAAAGAAATGAATGGAAGACTTCTTGGCTCCACTTAGTCCAAAATACCTTGGAATATTAATTTTCTCAATATACAATTCACCTTCAATCCATTTTACAAATTCTCTTCTGGTGTTTTCATCAACATCATCATCCCAATTTAGTTTCAACTTCCAAATGCTCTGAAGAAGCAATTTTGGGATCAACGTTACAGGACAGATCATACCCAAGGGGTCAAAAAGTCTATGTGCAGCTGACATGATGGTTCTCTTCGTTACTTTCTCTCTGTTAAGCTCTTTAATGCAACCTGTACTCACTTGAAGAGTATCATATTTCTTATCCCAGCTCATACCAAGAACATTTGTAGGTGGCTGTGAATTTTTCTCGCTTAAGTCGGTGTACTACCACCCTCTAAGATCGAATTTTCTACTTGCCATTATTTCAGTAGCAACTCTTTCAAACATATTCAATTCTTCTATATCCTTGACACTCGTGACACAATTGTCTGCATAAAAACTTTTCATTAGTTTTTGTACAACATATTCAGGATAAGTAGCCTTTTGTTCCCTTATTTTTTTCAAAACATTCATCAGGAGGTATTTGATAGTTGAGGACAGCAAAAATGGGCTACAGGTTACTCCAAATACTACCCTGCAATGCCTGTAAACCTTCAAGCTTGTATCACTAAGCCATAAAAATCTTAAGTAATTTCTATCAGTTTCAGTAAGTCCGATTTGTAAGAAGGCTTTACGTATGTCTGAAACGACACCAATTCTCTCAGTCCTAAACCGCATCAAAATGCTTGGTATCAATTCAATTAGCTTTTCACCCTTCTCTAAGCAGTCATTTAAACTTGGAAAACCTTCGGCCTTAGCTGAAGCATCAAATACGGGTCCAATTTTGGTGGTGCTATTCGGTTTTATAACTGCACGATGAGGTAGGTAGTGTTCATTTTCCTCACAATTATCCTTTACTTCTTCTATTATTCCCTCCTCCATCCATTCATTAAAAACTTGCTCATACTCTTTATAAATCGACTGCGATTTAAGGCGGTTGACAGTCGAATTCAATCTTTTATACGCCAGGTCATAGTTGGTTGGTAATGGAGGATGATCTTCCAGCCAAGGCATGCTAACCACAAAACAGTTTTCTACATCTAGTCTGATTGTCTCCAAAAAGTACTCTTGTGTAGCTCTTTGCAACTCTGCCTGCACTTTCTTCGCAGATGGATCTGTGATTCCCAAAACATCCAATGACCACAGTTGATTCACTGATGCTTCAGTTAAAAGCAATGAAAGAGAAGAATTTGTCGTCACAGCAATATCATTTTTCGGTATCTTCCCCATAAGAGTCCACCCTAGATGTGACTCAACGGCAACAGGACCTTCAATCAAACATTTTACATTGCCTGTGAAAAGCTTGCCGGCCACATCAGCTCCAAGTAACAATTTGACGTCATTAGATACTCCTAGTGAACTATACTCAGTATCATTCACACATATTCCATAGTCATTCAACTCTTTCATCCATGGACCATTAGGGATGCGTTTGATATAATCACAAATCACTGGTTGATCTAAACAAAGTACTTTGCAATTAAATCTGTAATCCATACTCGCTAAAGTAACTTTGTATTGAGAATGATACTTCTCACCTGATGATACACCGCCAAACAACTTGTGTACTAACTTAATTTCTCCGCATTTCTCTATACCCAAATATTTGACTACGTCTCTCATAATATATGTTCTCTCAGAACCTGTATCAATAATAGCTCTCACAAGTTTGTCTTTATTTCCATTTCTTATGCGCAGGACTAGAGTCTGTAATAAAACTTCAGAATGAAGAGACTGGCTAGTTAAGACGTTATCGCCAACGACTCTTTCGGTTGCCTTACTCTCTGGGTTTTGAACTTCATTACTGGCCGCAACTCCTCTGCAAAGAAGTATATTGTGATTTTTACCACAATTAAAGCATGGTTTCCGTCTGCAATTTATTACTCTGTGCCCTGGTCGTAAGCATAAGAAACAACAACGTGATCTTGCAACAGCCGTTTCTCTATCATTCAAACTCCAATTTTTTGCATATTCACAATCCCAAGAATTGTGCTGGTTTTCACAAAAAAGGCACTTTCTCTTTTCATGTGGTGAAGTAAGCAATTCAGAAGTGGAAGGTATTTGTGCAGATTTACCAAATTTTTGTTTCAACTGGAATCTACCGTTCGTAGGAATTCTTCGTTTCTCACTATCATCTGTACCTCTCACGAAGGATTGAAATGCCATGTTCACTCTCTCTTCAGCCTCTACTTCACCCTCTAAGAACTCTAGCAAAGTATCCAACTCAGTCTTGGTAATTGGTTCAGCTCCTTCAACATTTGGAACAACATGAATAATTGACCGTTTATTTATAGTCCGATATCTTTCCCACGCTTTGAGTGTTTTCTCAGGAATTGACGACTCGATTAGAGGAAACAACATTGCAGCATATTTTTCTCTAGTTACTCCTAACACTTCTAATGATCGAAGTTTTGATTCAAGTTGATCATAAAGTTTCCGCAGAGATTTCTCAGATTTGCTTTGTTTCTGTAATACTAAAGCTAATAACTCTCTCACATACACTTGAATCAACAATTCTTCCTTTCCATACCGAGTTTTAAGTTGATTAATTGCAGTTTTATAACTCTCTCCACTCGGAGGAAAACTCCTTAAAAGTTCATCAGCAGGTGATCCTTTTAACATGGATTGCGATAAATAAAGGAATTTATCATGGTCTCCAATATTCGGATCTTTGTCAATTTTCTCAAATTGGCACCAAAAACTGAGCCAGTTTTTCAAATTTCCATCAAAGACTGGAAGCTTAATCTTTGGATGCTGCAAATTAGTCGGACCAGCAAGTAAATGGCTAGTAACGGACATATTATGTTTTTCAGAAATAGAATAAAGTAAATTTTCCAATTTAATATCAAAAACTCTAATTTTATCAATATAAGATTCGGAATCATCTATTTCCTTATCAATTTCTTTTTCATCTCGAACTTCCGAAAACAACTCAGTTCTTACATTTTCTTCAGATACAAGTAATTGCTTACCTTTTTCTGATATGATTCTTAATTTCAACAATTTCTCTTCATCGTTCATTTCAGTCTCAATTTTTGCAAAATCATTGCATGACTGAGTAAACAATCTACGATGCTGTGTTCTCACTTGTTTCAATACTTCCATTTTCACTCAGATTCAGTAATAGTCGTTTTCTAAAATCTCAGCAGAAATTCAAAGTCCTGTCGCGGACGCCATATGTCAAAAAATACCCAAAATAAAAGATGACCTCAAAGAAAGACTTCGAATCAAATAATCAAGAAACCTCTACTATTACGTTTATTATAAAAAGGAAGATTTATTTACAACAAAATTACAGAATCGCCGAAAATTCAAAAGACAAATCTTAAAACTCTCTCAAAACTATTATTTACATTCTAAACTTACCATGGCAACCACCAAAACTCTTCTCGTTACCATCTTTAAATAGGAAAAAAAAATAGGCTGCGCATAAGCACATAATATTTCACAACTTACTTATTTTGACATTTATACTTTAATCAACAACAACTGTGTTTTTCATATTTGCTCCACTAATGTGGAATATTATTTAAAACAATATATTTTTTTTTTGCTCTCAACATGAATATAATAATAAATAAAATTTTTATGTTGCGCTTTTAATGAAAAATAGCTTTACAATTAGAACCAGAAAGATTCATTGTTTTAAAGCAATACATTTTACTTCAGATATAAATGGTGATAACGGTTATTTATTCGATAACAATTTGTTGAAGATAAAGGGTATTTATTTTCTAAATTTTTTATTATCAAAGAAGTTTTCTTGTAAATTTTTGTCGCCAAATTCTTTTTTACCTCTCAGTTTTATGAATTTCTTAGGAAGGTGGTATTAGACATTTATTTTCCAAAATAAGTTTAGTTGTATATTATTCAGCACTTTAACTTTTCCAAAATTAACAGTTTGAATTATTCGAAATATTCGTCGAATGCTTTAAAAAAGACTGATGGTTTCTAAGTACGGATTAGGTAGTGCTCTATTCTCCTCATAAGCTAAATATATTTTCTCGATATTACGTTTCAAAATGTAAACCAATTAAAAACTCGATTTTTTTTTTATATATTTACAAAAACATAAAATAATAAAAACCTAGTTAAAGAGGTAATGAAGTATAAAAATAGGTTTAGTTTTTTGACAGATTTTAATAATTTTATCAACCAAAATTTAAATCATAGCGAGTTAGATTCAGGGCTGAAGTTACTAGCAACTAAAAGGCTCTTTTTTAAATACTAATGTCCAAGTTAGAGGCTTAACTAGATCAGTGTTCCACTATCATTCAATCGATATTCACTTCCACTAATCCTAATTAGACGATTCGTATTCTTATCCTAACAGGAACGTATTCCTATTGGTTGCATGTGCAACTGATTGATCATTTATGAATTTTCAGTAAATGAAGTGATGTCATCTTAGATATATTTATTATTTGATTTACTGAGATCTAACTGATATCCTATCCACGAAATATAGGAAGCCGCTTTAACAACGAACGTGTTGTCAAAACGAAGGTGCTTCGGCTGCCTTGTAAAACTTAAAAGGTGAAAGGCAACTTATGAATGTTGAAATTTATTTATTTAATTAATTGCACGAAATTAAGTAAGTTATTGAGTTTACTTTGATGTGAATTTAAAGTAATAGTAAGGTTTTTAGGGTTTTGTCAGGCAAATTGCGGGCAAAAATTGAGAGTTGCATTTCGATTGACTCCAATCCCTTCATCAAGAACAAAAATTGACTCGGTACTAGACTTTATTCATAATCTTGGGAGATGTGACATTCTTTTTGTCATTGACATTTTCGTCTGATGATATTGACAAAAACTTTTACATATCTTCTGTTCACATGTTTATCTGAGACAGTGAGGGCCATGAATAGAAAACATTTGAGAATTATGTTCAGTCAGTAAAATCTGTAATGATGAGAGTTGTTCTCTCATGAGCTGATCCATCTTAGAGAGACTAAACATATTAGATGGTGTGATGGAGGGAATCCCCTTTTATACGCGAAAAAGGATGAAGAGATATGACGTGCGGCATTCTGATTGTCCACAAAATGTTATGACATCCTGTTTGGCCTTGTGACAAGAAATGAAATCTTAAAGAATGACAAACAGTATTGAAAAAAAAATCCCAGGGTTTTATTTACTTATATTATAATACAATACACTCAAATTTACAATACAACACAATACTTTCAATACTATGTGATATTTACATTATATATGCGTTTCCTTTGTTTTTTTATAGATCCAAGGGTTTTACTGGATAAAATGGATACGGTCTTTTCCAACAGGGTACCACAACTGTACGTAAATCCAAAGTCTCCAAAGAGTCCGAAAAATTTTATAAAAAGTCTCGGATGTTATCCCATTCTTGATCCTCCTTTGGTGCAATGAGTTAAAATTCCACATTAAAAAACACGTCTTGGGGCTCTTTAGATTCAACAAGCACTTGAGGCATATCCAATACTTTTGATTCAATAAACACTGGAGGCTAATCCAACACTTCTGATTAATCTAACGTTTGAGGCATATCCAACACTTCTGTTTCATCACAAGGCACCTGGGCTCCATCCAACATTACCTTGAGTTCCTCATTCCCTTGAGATTCGTCATTCTCTTGAGGCATATCCAACACTTGGGTACTGGTTACTTGTGGAATTTTAAACTCTTCAGGAAGCATTTGCACTAAAGACTTCGCTGTGGATGCTCGGCTCAAACGTTACGTAGCCTCGGATAGACTTCAACATGCCGAGCAAACAACCGCAATCAATGCGAGGCTACGTAACGTTTGAGCTGAGATTTCACCCCCTCCTCCACGGACGCAATAGCGTTGCAACGTATAGGCCGAGCTTCTTCTCCGGGCGCTACAGTCACCGAAACTTACAGTTACAGACCAGGCTTCAACCGCAATCGATGCGAGACTACGCAACGTTTAGCTGAGCATACACCCCACCCCCTCAGATGCTACAGCATTGCAACGTAAAAGCCAAGCTTCAGCTATAGAAGCAACAGACAGCGTAGCCTCGTATCGACTGCGGTTGAAGCTTGGCCTGTAACTGTAAGTTACGGGTGCTGTAGAGCCCGGAGTTGATGATCGGCTTGTACGTTGCAATTAAGTTACACCCGTGGTAGAGGTGGTGGATGCTCGACTGAAGCATTACGTAGCCTCGCAAAGACTTCAACAGGCTGAGCAAACAGGAAGCAATCAATGCGAGGCTACGCAACGTTAGAGCTTAGCATTCACCCCCTCCCCCACGGTCGCAACAGCGCTGCAACGTACAAGCCGAGCTTCTTCTCCGAGCGCGACAGTCACCGTAACTTACAGTTACAGACCAGGCTTCAACCGCAATCGATGCGAGACTACGCAACGTTTAGTTGAGCATACACCCCACCCCCCACGGATCCTACAGCATTGCAACGTAAAAGCCAAGCTTCAGCTATGGAAGCAACAGCCAGCGTAGCCTCGTATCGACTACAGTTGAAGCTCGGCCTGTAACTGTAAGTGAAGGGGGCTGTGGAGCCCGGAGTTGATGATCGGCTTGTACGTTACAATTCTGTAACACCCGTGGTAGAGGTGGTGGATGCTCGACTCAAGCATTACGTAGCCTCGCAAAGACTTCAACAGGCTGAGCAAACAGCAAGCAATCAATGCGAGGCTACGCAACGTTTGAGCTTAGCATTCACCCCCTCCCCCACAGACGCAACAGCGTTGCAACGTACAAGCCGAGCTTCTTCTCCGGGCGCTACAGTCACCGTAACTTACAGTTACAGACCAGGCTTCAACCGCAATCGATGCGAGACTACGCAACGGTTAGCTGAGCATACACCCCACCCCCTCGGATGCTACAGCATTGCAACGTAAAAGCCAAGCTTCAGCTATGAAAGCAACAACCAGCGTAGCCTCGTATCGACTGCGGTTGAAGCTCGGCCTGTAACTGTAAGTTACGGGGGCTGTAGAGCCCGGAGTTGATGATCGGCCTGTACGTTACAATTAAGTAACACCCGTGGTAGAGGTGGTAGATGCTCGACTCAAGCATTACGTAGCCTCGCAAAGACTTCAACAGGCTGAGCAAACAGCAGGCAATCAATGCGAGGCTACCCAACGTTTGAGCTTAGCATTATCCCCCTCCCCCACGGACGCTACAGCGTCGCAACGTACAAGCCAAACATCTACTCCGGGCTCTACAGTCACCATAACTTACAGGTACAGACTAGGCTTCAACCGCAATCGATGCGAGACTACGTAACGTTGGAGCTGAGCATCCACCACCTTTACCTCATCCCTCCACCTCTACCTCCTTTGACAGAAACTTCCAATTAGACTTGAACACGCCTACTTGAATGGATTCCAAAATTGAACAGTTGACTTGCTACTTGTGACTGCGACATTATCCTACTCCTGGCACAGTTGCTACTTAGTCAATATCACACACAATGTCTGCTTCTATACACTCGACTGCTAACGACAACACTGTCGCTGGAACGACCACGACCGTGAACGTAATGCAGCTCTTACGATTAGCATTCAAAAAGGTCCGGTGATCTAAGCATATCTCTCCCGGTTTCTCCCAAAACAGCAAGGAATCAACTAGTTGCATCCGTTCTTCGAATTCTATCACACATATAGTTCTGGCGGGGGAGTACTGTAGTGTATCTACCACTACAAAAATATAATTCAAAAAATAATTTAGAGAATGTGTTTAGTTCATTGTTACATAAAGCTCGGCTGCTTTTTTTAAAAATCTGAAATTGTTTCATTCGTGTGATTTTTTTCTACCAGCTGCGGTCTGCAGCTTTTTTTGA